AAAACTGACTAAAACATCAAATCAAGACATATATTTAGTAAATTGTCGGAAATAAGGCTATTTGATAAAAAAGATCTTCAATAAATTTAGCATATTATTGAACTCAGGAAAATTTCATGCAGATAATAAACTAGTAGATGAAGATTGAGAAATTGATTTTTATGAACTCAATTTGGAAATATTAGAGCATAATACTTTCATATCTTGAAATAATTAGTGATCTATAAACTCCATCTATTTATTCTATAAAACTCTGAATTTTTGCCAACATGAGAATCATCTTTTATAAAAGTTCAAATTAAATATATACCATTAATTGATCAATTCACATTTAAATGAATAGTTTAAATACTTATTCTCTTATATATATCCAAATGTTCCAATATATATATCAATTTTAAATTTATTTTAATATCATCAACAGTATTTCTAGCATTAAATCTATAAACTTTTACTTCTTTAGTATCAATGTAATTACTCAGTTTCAACTGCTAAAATGTGAAACTTTATTATTTTATCTCTAAAATAATAATATATAGATTCCCTTAAGGATTTTGTTTTTACCTAACTATTTATTAATTTTTCCAAAATCAAATTTTAAATTGCATCCTCACTTTAAATTCACAAAATTTTTCCTAAGCACTTGATTAAATTGTTTTTTAAATAAATACAATAGAGCCTCAACTCAGCGTACGTTTGAGCTAAGTTAGGCTTATATTTATCTTAAAAAAAAAGTAGTCTTTTTCAAAAATTACCATATAGATAACAAACTTTGTTTCAGCTTTATTTTTTGATCCTAAGAAAATTTTATTTATTCTATACTTTTTATCTTAATCATTGTTAGAAAATATTTTAGAACCATTAAGTGAATTTGAATCAATATGAATAATTTTAATGAGATGTTTTCCACATTATTTAATAATAATATTTGTTCATTTCCTATTCGTATATCTAGAGAAATCCTTTAAAAATATTAATAAAGTGAAATAGAGAAAATGTTGAATATAACAATAAAATATAATGATATCTATGGGTTTAATTAAGATTTATTGTAATCTCTTTAGATTTCTGAATTATCATTAATGTGTTGGTTTTAAAATGAAAAATTAGAAACTTTCTGGTATTATGCAATCAACACATACCATTCTATCTTCAATTTTCTTATTCTCTGAATCCATATCAATCATAATAATTTCATTTTTATGATTACTACAAAGTCTAATCAAACACGGAGTTTTTTATTTTTATTGATTAAATATACCGAGTCTTATTTTATAATTAATGAAGGAATTAATTCAATTATATTATTTTCCATAATATCTTATATTGTTTCTTTTGTATTTTTAAATATGTCAAATGTCAAAAAGTATTCGGAAATATTGAATAAGAGTTCAAGTTGAGTTTATATTTCAATAATCAAATGAGTATCCTCTATTTATTTAGACCAAGTCAGATAACTACTTTACATATTCAAAATAATTTAATTATTATTCATATTCTAAGAAATCTTATTATTTTTTAAAATTAGATAAATATATATTATTATACCTATTTATACATTTACTACAAAGAATCATCAATTGATTCTTTGAAATCTCTAATTTGATCTAATATATTTTTATAATAGTTAAGTCTTGCTTGATTCTCTTTAGATTTGACATCTTTTTATTAAACCCTAATTACAATATTCACACTTTCGATTACTCAACATTTCCCAAAAAAGAATTAAATCTACACCTTATCTGATAAATCTAGATCAAAAGCAAGCAATTCTAGATTACGAATTTTTCATATTGTATCTCATTTTTGATTTAAAATATTCATATTTTTATCTTAAAATTAATTAATGTAATTATAGATCATTTATTTTAGTAATATTTACTCATATTCATATAAATTCCTGATCTTGTGCTAAACTATATAACATTAGATTTATTTATA